TTTAATAATATAATAGATGTCAAAGTAAATGACAGAGGAGGTCTGTGCTAAGATTTCACAGATGTGGCCTGAAGCAGAGGAAGGTGATGTGGTCTGCCCAGGTCTCTCAGCAAGGCAATGAAAGAGACTGGAAAAGTGAGGTATTGTCAGGTCCAGGCCAGGTGTCATGATCTGTTGGGTTTTTTGCCACCAAGCATATTGGATAGACAGCCAAGAGCAACTTGGGATAAGCTGTCAGAGACCTATCAGATAATCAAGTTCATTATGTTGTCATTATTAATGTTTCTATCAAAGAATCTTCAATTTCCATCTGGAAATTTGGAAAGACTCTCTGGAAATCAGGAGGCAGTGACAGAGCTAGTGTGCATTGGTACAAATTAAAAGTACAAAAGGAAAAACAGTGTGAGCTCAAAGTTTGCAGTTTGGTTTTGTATTTGGGGATATCAGAGATGTTTACATATTTACTAATTGATTTCTCTGGTTTGCTTCCCCACTCCTCCCCCAGAGGTACCAAAAACAGAGAAAACTTTTGAGGAAAGACTGATTTTGAAGGCATTCCTACTGAAGTTTGTGAATTCCTATGCACCAATTTTTTATGTTGCCTTTTTTAAAGGAAGGTAGGATAAATGTCCTTTACATATAGATATTTATGTATATAGGTATTTATATGTATATATATGTCTATATTAGTGGATCTGTGTTTAAAAATGGGCACAAAGGGCTACCTAACTCTCAGACTGGCCACTTTCACCAGCTATGAAAAAATATCATAAACAGGGTTGTCTAAAGCTTGCTTTTGAATGTCAGGGCATGATGAGTACTGTCCTGTCTCTCTTCTAAGTAGAGCATTGTTCTGAAATGCAACCATTTTAGTTTTCTTTCTAAAATAAGAATAATCCACACCTCAGAAAAGAATTCCTTTTAGTTAAAAAAGGGTGTTGCATTTATGAATGAATGGTAGTGCTTACAGGTCTTCACTTTCCACATTTTAACAAATTTTTCTTGAAGCATCATTTAGCAAAGAAAGATTTTCCTGTTTCATTTAAAATTATGGAACTAATTTATCTATTACTTTTTCAGTGTTTTGCACTATTCGCCCGTATCAAGTTAAATTAAGAAGTAGTTATAGTCAACTGGAAGTTGCGTGTTTTGGCAAATGAACTGATTGACCAAAAAGCTAATTCAGCTGTCCTGCTAAATAAGTGTGACTTCCTATGGGTTCAGGATCATTGTCTTTTGGGACCCAGTTATCCACATATAACACATGCTTTTGAATGGGAAGCTTAAAATGATTGTTTGCTCAAACTTTGGCAAAAATGTTTAAAACATCCTCTGGATCCTGTTTCATACCATTTTTCTGTTCCTTTGTGGGGCTGTAAAGTTTGTTAATCTATATTCTTCACTAATCCTATTCAGCATCATTGATTTAAGAATTAATGATACATTTTACCAGCAGTTGTAAATATTGTAAGACATCAACGAAAAATATCACCAATTTCTTTCTTTTTTAACAATTTTTTTTGTGTTTTATGGTTATAATAAAGTCAATCTCACTGTTTCTCCCCATGTAGTCAGAAGGGCCTTGACTGTGTATAGATGTGTAAATAACTCCACTCAGGGCATTACTCAGATGTAAGAGAATGTGAGTTAGGATATGTGTTCCCAGTTTTGTTTGTCTAATCAAGAGAGAGATTATTATTATTTTTTAGCACAGAAAAATATTTTATTAAAATTATTTCATCAAGATGTAGTAGAAAAACATTTGTAAAGGCTTACTACTTTGAAATAATTTTAAATAATTGAAGTTGAATTGATATTGAGTCTTTTAAAATTCATGTTGAAGTAGCTAATTCTGAAATATTTTAGCTGATATGAATAACAGTTATGATGTTAAAGTTAACTTTTTTTGTATTTTTATATTATTTCATATATTGTTATTGCTTTCAGATTTGTTGGCCGTCCTGGTCATTATGTATATGTGTTTGATGGTTATCGAATGGAAGAGGTAAGTACATATGAAATTCAAACTAAAAAATCCTTAACAAAAAGAGATATGTGTACAGTGTATTTCGGTGGAGTGTAGACAATAAGGGAAAAATAGAAAACCTGTTAAAAAAAGATGTTAAAACTTCAACATAAATAGACAAACCCCAAATTTTCCATCTGAGGAACCTGTATTTTCTTTCTTTCTGCAGTTTTGAGTACTTAACGGTCTTTCTTAGGTGAAGCTTCACCATTCCTATGCTTTACAACTGGGCACTAAGGAGCAAACATTACATGATTTGACTGAGGCCCTTCGGAAACCTACGGCAGAGCCGGAACTTGAATCTGGCTTCTCATTCTGTAGATCACTAGAAGTCTAGCAACTTTAATAGCCTAAAAAGCTATAGCCATTTTGTGCTAAACCTGTAAACATTTTTTTTTTTTTTTTTTAAAATTCGTTTTAACTGCTGCGGGTATTCCCTTGAAAATCGATAGACTTACTCAAGGTTTTACAATAAAGCTTACACATAAGTCTTTGCAAGATTGAAGACTTTCTTCCCCCTTGGGAGACATCCGTTTGGAAGAGTATTGGTGATACTGCATTATGTTTATTACATTGATTATATAGTAAATATTTAAAAGGAAATATAGTAGCCCCAGGGCACAGTAAGTTATTTCAGAGCTCTGCATATTTTCCATAATACAGTTTTATGAGTGGAGATGAAAAACCTTGTTAGGCATACAATAGCAATGATCGACGAGCTCTGTGCTCCTGTGCAAATTGGTGGCAGGGGCGATGGGCACATATAGACATCGGTAGCTCTCCCAAGTGGGTGCTTTTAAATTAATTCTCTTACTCCTTTCACAGTCTACGGTTTTGTTTAATTACAGTGTGCTCCAGGAGGCTGTTTGATGGAACTCTGTATTCAGCTGAGCATCATTATGCTTGGAAAACAACTGATTCAAAACAATCTGTTTGAAATTGGAATCCCGTATGTATCCCAGCCCTCTCCATTACTATGCGTTATTCCTAGGACACAGTAAATTAAAGGCTTGATCCTTATTCAACTGAATGGGACTTTTGCCACTGCCTTCAGTGGGTTCTAATTGAATGTGATAATAAATCACATTTTTGGTTGTGATGAAATGATCTGGCTGTATTTTATGTTGAATAATTGGCTATATCTGCAGTAAATGGCTTAAAGAAAGTGATTGAATATATCAAATAATTGATCTAAATTAATTTTAGAAACCTGGGAAAACAGGCAAGGTATGATAGATCTCTTGGGAAGTTTTAGAGAAGCTTTCAGGGCAGTAGTATTGAATACAAATTAGTATAAAGTGGAGGAGAGATGGCGTGTAGAAAAGCAATAGCTCATAAAAGATGTTAAAATGTATTATTTGATCTATGACTATTTTACGGGTTTACAGATGAAGTCCACACATTTCTAAGGGGCCTGTATGTCAGTATGATGCAGGAGCTAGAGGATGGGAGCGAAGCTGACACGCTGCTCGGTGGCTGTCTGCCTCAGGATGCTTAGTGCACCGTGTCTCCAACCTCTGCTCCAAATACAGCAAGAAATCTCTCTTGGTCTGTCTCCAGTGTCAAGGGGATCTTCAGGCACTGAGAATCCACTGAGAATGTCCTGCTCCTGCCTCTTGGGAGGTTTGCTCTTGTTTCTGTTAACTGAGTCATCCTTGGTGGCAGTGGTCTGTGAAATGTTGTATTAGATGAAGGGTCTGGCTTCGATGCAAGCCTCAACTCCACTGAAGTTAGTCAGAATCTTTCAACTCTGGTGTCAGTAGCTTTTGGATCACATCCCTAAGGAAGGTCTTGAAGATGCTAACTAGAAACCAAGATGAGTGATGTTTAAAAGATTGTGAAATATTTTTAAAATGAGCCCTTTTCCTCCCTTTTCCTAGCAAGAACTTTTTGGGGGAAGTAATTTAAATAGAGAGAGAAAAAAAATTCCCAAACAAATCAAATGTGGGTTATGGATGGTTTCATTATTCTTGTGTCAAAGTTCAATAGGGAGGCCTGTTTTCTGTCTACATCTCATTGAGTTTACAGTTTATTTTGAGAAAAGGGTGGTAAATCATTCCCAAAATGTCTGACATGTTGAAGGTTTAAAGCTTTCTCAGTGTAAACCTCATGTGATTTTTTTTCCGTCTTCCAAAAACTTACTGCTACTGGACTTTTTTAATGGGGATTTTATGATGTTAGAAATTCTGTATTTATTATTTTTGACTCATGAAAGCAGAGGCTGATCCAGTCCAAACAGAAAATTCCTGTCAAATTATTTCTCAATTCCCTCACTACAACTCTTGGTGCAAGAATGTGACAATTTCATCCCATTTTTCTCCCTCATTTCTGCTCCCCCACCCTTCTGCCAACAACCTATGGTGGCCTCAAGTTTTAAAACTGAATAACTGTTTAAAAACAAACATACTTTCATCCTCTTCTTCCCAGAGAAATACCTCATTTCAGTCACAGTGCTATCTTGTCATCCTGGAATAAGCACATCTGGCTTTCCCTCTGCTTGTCTGCATTCTCAAAAAAATTACGTGTATATGTGTAGGGCTCGGCCCTTCTCACCACACCTGATTGCACCAGGAGAAGCACAGTGCTTTACTGGACATTTAAGTTAATTAAATCAGAGTTAGCCTTCTGTTTCTGCATGGACCACTCTACTGGTTTGGACTAGATCCTTAATGGTGCTTTATTCTACCTCATCTGCCCCACATATACAAGCACACAGACACACTTTGAGTACCGATCAATCAGATTTTCAGAGGGCTGTGCATAGGTCTGATGGACACATATAAATCCAGACCAAAAGGGTCTCCAAACATGCATGTGTTGCACAGGTAGTAGTTCTGGCATGTCTGTGTCTCACTCGTAATCTACTATGTCTATACATGCTGTTGTTAGCAGATGTGACAGATGTATAGATAAACATACCCTCGTCCTCTGCCCTCTAGCCTTCTCGTCTGGCTTCCTGCTGTATCCTATTCTCTCTGTTCTACTACCTGTTCTCCTTGGTAATGTCTTACAGTCAGCTCATCTCTGTTAGATCATCCTTTTTCTACCAACAAGTTTTTTATTTTCCTTCCCAGGATATCTCTGTCTTCATCGGGCCCTTGTTCTATTTTCCGGTGTCTACTTTTGCACAGGCTATGCACTGTGATGAACAGTCCTCCTGTGGCAGAAAGATAGATTAATCTTTTCTATCTCCAGTTTCAGCAGCTGCAATTTTTTTTCCCCTTGCCTTGTGCCTCTTTGGAGGGAATGAAAGTCAGAGTGAATAACACGGATTCTTCCATTGGCTCCCTGTATTTTCACTGGGGGCAGAGTATAAGTGCTACAATCAACCTTACCCATATGGAGAGGCAGAAGGGACTATCGTAAATGGTCATTTGTTCTTCAGAATCTGGAACTGTCCTCTACATGTCTGTAACATGGAAGTATCTCTCTGCTAAATTATATAATGAACCAGGTCAAAAGAGTTTTCTTCCTTATTGAAGTCTTGGGATTTCAGGATTATTTTCAGAAAACCTTTTGACTTCATTCACCATAAAACCCAAGGCATTTTAATTGCTTTGCAGAAGATTATAAAGCCTTATTCCCATTTGCTGTCTCTTTCAATGATAGACTGAGTTTATAAACAACAGCCATCCATTATGTCTCTAGCGCCCCAAATGTTGCTGCAATTGGGAACCATCATTCAATGTCTTCATTCTGGCTTATCCATGGTGCTGGCTGAAGAGTTACGGAGTTAAACTTCAGAGGGCAGCCTTGCATTGTTTGGGGTCATTGGGACACATCCTTGCTTTTTCCTTCAACGTTTCTGGAGAAACTGCTGCACAGCTATGACAGATGTGACTTGCTGGTCTTCTAAACCTTTCTGTGATTTCTTTTTCAATTTCTGCACCCAAGAATATCAGAACAGCTAGGTAAATGCAACAACAGCTGAATTATGGAAAACTAAGCCTTCTTGAATTGAAACGCATGTTCTGTGGGACTGGAATTAGCACAAATTTAACATATGTAAATATGCCACAGTTCACTCAAATGTATTACATACTGTAATTCTTTCACTGTTGCCACAAGAATTGACCCTAAAAGGCTGCAGGGCTTGAAAGCCTTAACCTAGAGTTCCTTTAAATCTCTTTTTCTTCAGTTCTGTTTTTCTGAACTTACTGAAAAAAATCCATGTGGTTATTTTATTACTCTTTGACCCTGGTGATAAACTCTTAGGGTGAAATCTTGGCCCTATTGAAGTCAATGGCAAAACTCCCATTGACTTTAGTGGGGCCATGATTTTCTTCTTTTTATCCAACATCAGTTTCCATCACTTACTTGAAAATATACTTAACTATGCTGGATGAGAATACCACGAGTTAATAAAATCAATTTAAAGACATGCTTTCATAGCTATCATCTTTTTTGTTGCCTTTCACATTTAATAAATTATTCTTAATTAATGGAGTGGGTTTTTTTTCTTTTTTTGGTTGTTGTTTTCTTCTGTTTGAGAAATCAATAAATCCCAAACACAACTGAAACTCCTGTAGAATCCAGGAGGTCTGAGTGTGCCAAGAAAGCGTGACTATACCATAAATTTGTGGAACAGGATGAGAGATTAAAGTCTTCTTGATGTCCCCTTGTCTCCTTCTTGTACCCCCTACCTGTGAACATGAGAAGGTCTCTCCTTATGTGAACAGACTGTAGAAATATGACTGAAGAAAAGCCTGGACGTTCAGTGGTCCTTCCCCAAAGCAGCAAACAAAATTACAGGCAAGGACACGAGAGTGAGTCACTGCACTTCCTTTTCTCTAGATACAAGTGCTCATCAACCTAACAGTCTTTTCTGTCTAGCTTTCTCCCTGAGCCCTTTTCTATCATGCTACAAAGGAAAGAGCATCAACTGGAAAGATAGCCTTAAAAACCACCTGATATAAATAATCATTAATCCCTGGCAGATGGATTCTAGGGGGTTTCTGTCTTTTCATGTAGAGTCTCCATTTGCATCTCTGTTACAGCAAGTATTGCCTTGGATACTTAAAATCCAGTTATTGGTGACTGTCACAGGTGATCTGCCTTTGCAGAACCCAAGGGCATTTGTTAACTGAGAGTCTTGAGAAATTGGTAAACTGATCCTCAGTTCCAATCTTTCTGGCAAGCTCTGGTGGAGATACATCGTGAGGACTGCACAGCCACCGAAGACACAAAGACTTGTGCCAACAAAGTAATTTTCCTGCATCTGTCCTATTTCAACCTGCCTCCCAGCTGCCCTGCCTCTCCAGCCTCCAGACGTTCCACTCTGTCTCACTCCACAAATTTCTCATTTTTCCCAAGTCACCTTCATGTCTTATCCTAGATCCCCCAAATCCTGCCACTCCTTTTCCTGCTACTGTATGAATAGAGTAACTGTTGAATCATCTGTCTGTTTTTTTAAAGGGAGGATTCATTTAAGTGCACCATGTGCTTGCAGCCCAGCCAGGATTACTTGATTTTGATTTCTCTCTCCTTTTCCTCATCTTTTTTCTCAAAATCTTGTGGGTTCTTCAGGGGTGGGGCATTTTCCTGTATGATTTTTTGCTCTCTTCAGATGCTGATTACCTTGCATAATGGGATGCTTGTTGGTTATATTAGGAATTACAAACAGCATAATTAAACCATGTTCCCACCTCTTATCTAACACAGCAGTTCGGTGCCAATCCCTTGTGAGAAACTGCAGCATCATTTTTAACTGATCTAGACATAGCCTTCTGATAAAACCCTGTTCTTCATTTTCTTTCTCCCTGATCCTACATTCATTCTTCCTTCATGCTATTGTCTCCTCAAGAATGTATCTTGCTTTTTGATATTCTCTGGCAAAAGGACCAGAAATAATGGCTATTCTACAGTCCTACTGTTTCCTCTGTTTGTCCAGATTCATATGGCTACTAGTGGGGTCCTGAAACTTTGCTGCATGTGCCTCTTCAGCACAAAGCTTCTCGGAGACTCATCCTGAATGAGCAAACCTATCTCTTTCTCACTGGTGGGGCTGCCTGGCATGCAGAAATCAGAAGATAAAATAGCTCTTGATTATCATTGTCTGTCAACTTTGTTTAAAAATGTTGATCTCAGTAATTAAAAAACAGGTTTCACACAAGTGCATTTAAAAAGCTTACTCAGTTTTAATAACACAATCGTATGTGCAGCTATAGAGTTCTGCAAAACTCATTTTCATTGCCCTACTGCTATGTAGCTGGAGAATAACACTGTGCAAATCCCTGTTCTCTGTTCCTTTACCTTTCTGACACATTTCTGTTTGGTCTGAAACTTCACATGCTTGGATATGACACAAAGGTACATTTTTAATGGAAAATTTGAAAGAATTAGTTTGGCTTGCTTTCAGTTAATGATCCTTTAAAAATTACATGAAAATAAAAATAAGAACACTCTTCAAAGCTTAACTCAAAATGGTTAAAAGTACCACTCCTCATGCTGGGCTTATAGATAGCCAGATGAAAAATTTAAAATTATTCTGAGTAACTGAGCCCTGGATTTAGTGTATTCCCAAATAAACATTAAAAACAACAACTATTGTTTTAGTTACTGGGTTCTCAGGGGAGTTATGTGTATGCATTAAACTCCATAACTCGACTCCGTGGTGCTATAACCAGAGGATTAGATCACACATGTACAGACTTCACATCTAAACACACCCAAATTTTATCTCAGCTGCTGCACAGTGACAGCAAGATGCTCTTCAATCTCATCTGCCCATAGAAATGTGAGGGACAGTTATAGCTCATATCATTTTATTGGAATAGAAATCAGCACTCTCTTGAACTTATTGTTCACTGCCCTCTGAGAGTCCTTCACATTAGGAAATTAATTGGGATATGCTGGAAGAGCATCCTGGGAATTCTTTGACTGTTTTAAATCCTGTCCCCAGCCTCCTACTCTCTGAATACTACATCACCTCTGTCACAGACAAGTTCCCTTGATTGCCATAAAAGCAGAGGGGGGGAAGGAAATTTTAGTGTCTTGAAATGGCTGAGTTTGCATGATGTAGGAGCTAAATGTTTTTGTAAGGATCCATCTAATTCTTTCTTGTGAAGTATTTTAAATATCCCCACCCTTTTATTAAAACTGTGTAAACTGAATGTTCTGAGTACCTGAAGTATTTGGTTAGCCCCAGTATAACTGGGTATTGCCAAAGTACTGAGGATGTAATCGTCAGACTTATGAGCAACATCTTAGCTGCACCTGGAACAAAAGCTGGAGTTGATCTGTTGATTTTTGCAGCTTTGTGATCCTGGGACTGACAGGGCCTGATGCAATCTAGATCTGTTTTAAGAGCATCTGCCAATCCCCATTTCCTCCATACTGATGGTGAAATTGAATGGGTCCTGTAAACACTGGTCGGTGTAGAAATTCTGCAGCCACTGTGGTCATTTCCAGGCTGCTGTAGAGCCTTGTGCTATGATGTGGTGACACAGTGCTCCTGTGCGGCTCAGTGTATATTCAGGAACAAAGCAATAAACTTACCCAGCAAAGCCTTTAGTGTGTTCACCAGCCAGCCTTGCCCTGCTACTTAAGTTAGGGTCTGAGAAAGCGGTTCTGTTAACTGGAGGTACAAATGAAAACCCCTACCATTTCCCTATACAGTCCTGTCTCCAGGCCACACACCTCTAGTTCAAAGGATTTACAGCAAGCTGTGGGGGAAAAGTTTGTGGGAGAGCCCTGCTTACACTACTGGGAAAACATCACTGGAATTAATCAGGATTTTCACTCATATGGCACATATGTGAAGAACTATAAAATAATGTCATGCATATTTGTGAAAGATCATTTTCATCTGCAATATGAAGACATACAATAAATATAAATCTTGATGTTTTATGCTAATTCAACTATATTTCTCTTCCTTGATTTTGAAGAAATATCTCATTCTATTACATTTTTCCATGGGAATATCTCAATGTGTAAAATAGCATGAAGTTATTGATGTATATGCATTTAAAATGTCATCTGTGAGGGGCATTGGGAATACTTTATTCTTCTTTTAGAGATGGATGAATTTTACTCTGGGATTACACTACATATGAAATTCATGTATTTGTCAGGGAGTGAAATTTGTATCCCCTTCTCAGTGGGACAGTCATTGATACTACTATTCCTACTGAGGTCCAAAGAACTCATTAAATGTTTTGATGTTAGTAGTTATAGAATTCTGTAGTTTCCAGTGGCTTAAGAATAAACTTGCAGAGAAGGTCCAGTGAGTTCCAGTTCTTCCCTAGTGAGTTCCAGTATGGGTTGCATTGTGGAGTACTGAAGAGGCTGTTACTGCATATATCCCAAGTGACACTTTTCTAGCAATAATTTGTTACTGAATCCAGAGCAACTAAGGTAGGATTTCTGTTTGTGCGTGTCAGGAGTGATACACCTCTCTGAGACCAAATTCTACTGCCCTCACTGAAACTCTCTCATTAATCTTATTCTCTCCATTAGTTTGAACCCTGTTTGCACGTCAGGTAGAAGCAAGAGAATTGTGTTTCTCCGGGACGAAAGACCATTAGTAAAATTAAAACTTTGCTTATAGTTAACATTTCATATGTACATATTTTATTATTTTTATTAGTTGTCACATCATTTTGGTTAAAAAAAGGGTGCTTCCCCTTTAAGGTTCCACAAGCAGCATCTTTTTTTTGTCTATTTAGATAAACTCAGGTATATGTGCTTGTGACAAGAGAGCACTGGAACCTGAAGAGCTGCAGGTGTTTTCTGGTGGTCACAGGGCTGGCTTAAGTCAATAATATTCATTTTTAGAGTCCTAAATGGCTTTGGACCTATCAGTATCTTGGAGACACTTCTTTTTTTGGTGCTGCAGATATATTAGCAAAGGTGCTCATTTCCTTTTGCTTTGAACAACGGGCAGTTTTTCTGATAAAATGTTCATAAGTCCACCATGTTTAGGAATTAGTACATTCTTACACCCTCTTTGGTTGGCAATATGTCCAGTCATTTTGACCTTAAAAGCGTACTATATTGGAAGTTCCCAAGTTTCTTAGTGAGGGAAAAGTGCACCTGTGCTAGATATGTGGTGTGAAGGCACATATTGTTTGTTTCTTTCTTTCTTGAGGGAGAGCTGCCCAGTGTGTTGTTTTTGAGAGTATTACTTATCACTAATATTACTTAGGTCCGAGGTGCTTGAGCTTCAGGAAGATGCCCATTCAATACGTATCTAGAGAGGAACATCTATTAAAAAGTATTTGGTTCAATTCCATTTGAACAGCGTTATGCTGTTGTAACTTTCCTCTTGACACAGGAACACAGGAACTGCTGCCCCCAGCAGCCTGTCACCTGGCAATAAGCAGCATCAGAACTTCAGAGGTCGTGTAAACTAAGCCTGTGGGGCGCCAAAGTAATGTGATGTACATTTTGTGCCAAATTTTTTGGGGAAAAAAAAAAAAGGTTGGTTCAGTCTGAACTTTTGTTCCTCAGGAAGCTAAAGAAGCTCTTCAGGAAACTGAAGGATGAAAGAACTGAGCCAAAGGAAATGGACACCAACCAATCAAAGGACCCTCAGCAATGGGATCTTGACTACATCTTGGAACCTTTTACTGGGCTGACTCCAGAATACATGGAAATGAGTAAGTTTTCTGAATTCCCTTTCCCTTTCTGCAATAACCATAGTTTTACATAGGACCAATCACCGTATATCATATGACTGTATGTCATAATTTGGCATGATAAAGGGGGAAAAAAACTAGAGCACTTGTAGCTTTGCAGAAATTACATGCAAGACAGCAGGGCTATGAGACTACTACATTACCAGCATAGCAGCAATGATGAGTCCTAGTGTCTGTTAATACTTACACTGTGAGAGTCCAATGTTCCCAGCTGAGAACAGTGCATAGAAACCATACAGCCACAGAATCATGGGATAGCTAAGGTTGGAAGGGACCTCTGGAGATCATCTAGTCCAACCCCCTGCTCAAAGCAGGGTAAGCTAGAGCAGGTTGCTCAGGGACTTGTCCAGTTGTCCAGTTGGGTTTTGAATATTTCCAGGGATGGAGACTCTACAACCTCTCTGTGCAACCTGGTCCAGTATTTGATCACCCTTACAGTAAAAAAGCTTTTTTTAATGTTTAAATTGCATTTCCTATATTTCAATTTGTGTCCATTGCCTCTTGTCCTTTCACTGGGCACCCTTGAGAAGAGTCTAACTCTGTCTTCTTTAATCCATGCAAGAGGTATTTGAACACATTGGTAAGATCCCCCTGAGTTTTCTCTTCCTGTGGTACAACAGTCCCAGCTCTCTCAGCTTCTCCTTGTACGTCAAGTCCTCCAATGCCTTAATCATCTTAGTGGCTCTTCACTGGATTCACTGCAGTATATCCATGTCTGTCTTGTACTGGGGAGCATAGAACTGGAAAGAGCGCTCCAGGTGTGGTCACAGTAGTGCTGAGTAGAGGGGAAGGATCCCCTCTCTAAAAAAAAAACTCTCTTCCAAATGCGCCCTGGAAGGCTATTGGCTTTCTTTGTAGCTATGGCACATTGCTGTTTCATGTTCAACATGCTGTCCATGAGGATGCCTAGCCCCTTTTTTGCAAAGTTGCTTCCCAGCTAGTCAGTTCCTAGCATCTACTGGTGCTTGGGGTTATTCCTCCCCAGGTACAAGACTTTGTGTTTTCCTTTGCTGAACTTTGTGAGATTCCTCTTGGACCATTTCTCCAGTTTACTGAGGTCCTTCTCAATGGCAGCACAACTATCTGGTGTAACTCCTCACAAAATTAAAACCGCTCATTAATGTTTCAAATGTAGTAAAAATATGTAGATTCCAAAATATAAATATGTATTTTCTTGTAGAAGTAAGTTCCTCTTTACAACAGAAAACTGTAGGAAAATCTTTTTAGATGACTTAGTTCATGACTGAATGTTACATGATGTTGAATCATGTACACAGCATTCCCAGCTATGCTTAAATTAAAATCCACACACATATACAACAGGAGAGAACCTTCAGCCTATAAGAGCTTCTTGGTCAGCTGAAAGAGACAGTGGAATGGAGAATTATCATTCACATTTTACTCATGGAGAGGTGCGGCATGCAGGTATTGAGTTGGCCACACTTTCTAAGGAAATCTAGGGCACACTTGGGAATTATTTCTCACTCTCCCACCTTTCATAACAGTTCTTTAACCAGCATATTCTCTAGTTTTTTAAATAGCATGTGCATACTTCCTCTGCATGCATCACCCTTCTGGAGTGACTGACGTCACTAGTGGCATGCACTGCCAGACATTTGGTCATCTTTCAAACCTGTCTAAAGTAGGAGAAACTCCATTAAAGTCAATAGTATTCTAATTTTGTAAAGCTGGTGCCCACCATGTATATATCTTCTATGCGTACATATGTGCTTGCTGTTTTTCACAATTACTTAAATTGCTGCTAAGCTATGGCAGAGATCAGTACTTTTTCAAGGTTGCTCCACAGTTTGCTTTTCCACATTAAAGGAGATAAGTATGTTGGTGGAAACTCAGATGGAACTGGGAGAAATTATTTCTTGAAGTGGCAAGGTGCCATCAGTTACATATTTAGTAACCACACCATCAGGGAGACAGCAGTTCCTGATTTCCACTAGGTGGGATCCAGAAGCTGGATCTGCTGCTTCACAGAAATACCTCTCTCAAGATGCAATGTCTATCAGAGTGGAACTGTATGCACTCTTTATTATCTGCAAGTGTGGATTGCTGACATCTTAGTGACTTGATCCATCATTTGCATACCGTTAAAAGACTCCGATTTAGGATCTGAGGTCAGTGTGTCCACTGTAAGTCATTTAAGACGTAGCATTAGAGTGTTTTCTGTTATCTGGAAGTCAAGAGTCAAGAAAGAAACTTTAAAGAACTGAGTTTGTTCAAATAAAATATCATTAGTAATTTATTTTCATTTTAACATGTTTAGCACTGTGCCATTGTCCTCAGTAGTTATAATTTGGAAGTCTGGTCCCTTTGGAATCTTGATTGCACTTTGCTCAAGAGAAAATGTAACTCCATCACCCAAAGTTGCGCTGATACTTATGAAATTATGTTTGAAATTCTGAGTACAGCATCTGGCCTGTATAAATGGATACAGAGAGCAAGCCCAACAACTAGGCATTTTTGGTGTAATTCGGCTTTGTAGAGAGTCTTCTGTTGCTGCCATTCAGCTTTCACTGAGATCGTTTGATCACGTTCATCTCCATGCATCCACTTATACTCATCCACTGTTCCAGCAGGAGCAGGTCAAACACTGGGATAAAGGAGTACACTACAGATGAATTAGCCGAGGACAAATATCAAGCATCTGATAGAGAATTCCAAAGGGAAATATCTACATGCCTTCTTTTTCATTCTAAAGTGTGTTTGTTATAAACTCCAAGGAGTATCTCCATGACTCAACAGAACCCAGGAGGACAGAGATGCAAATAATCACCAAATAACTCAGTCTTGCAGCCCTGGGATACAATCCAACTTCAGCTGTCCTCAGGGAAATGAACCTGAGAGGAAGCAGCACGGGGATGCTAGGGAGTAAGTAAGAGGCCAGGCTTCTCACACCAGATGCAAACCAAAATTGCAGTGTACCCCTCAGCCCTGTAGCTGCCTCATGAGTAGACCCTGGAGAGGCAGGAGAGGAGAAAGGGGGAATGGTATGGGTAGGGGAGGAGGAAGAAGAGAAATAATTTAGGCAAACCCAAGCTTTAGGGCATAAAAGTATTCAGGTGAGAACCACAGCTTGTCAATGGGCATGTTATCTAAAACCAGACATCTGTTAAATATTGTATGTGACAACTCCTTTTTTAACAAGCCACTATTCTCAAAATATTTGAGAGAGAATGCATTTTGTGACAAAAAGGGTGAATACCATGTATGGTTTATATATATATGTAGAAATAGCTATATTGATTTATAGATATAATATATACTATATTTATAAATGCATAAATGGGATTTTATATAGTGGTGGATTTATGTAAATATATAAATATGTACGTGTACATGAGGTACTGTATATAATGGCAGATTTGGGGATCTCTTTTATGGATATGTTTGTGGATCTGAACCTTGTCCTCTGTAGTGCCATTAAGTTGAGAAAAAGAAGCCGTCACTTGCCATCATCTCCGTCTCAGTTGTTTCAACTCATCTTAGGATCTGGCTGTGTGTTGCAGCCTCTACTACCTTATCCCCTTCTGCACATGATGATATTTTGTTGAAAAATTCTCCTTTAGGATCATTTTTTTCCATGCATTGCTTCAGCCCAAGATGATTTTTCCTCCTGAAAACTTTAAGCAAACTTCTTCGCAATTTTTGAGTTAAACAATGGTGAAAAAATATAAACATTTCCCCTTGTAAACATTTTCATATGTTTTTATGGTCAGGCATAACTCAGAAATGTCTGCACTTTAACATGCAAAATTTCCTTGTTAGCTAGTTCTCTCTAAGGATAAGAACCTTTAGTTATTGGTAATAAACAAACAGAATAAATACAACTGTTTATAAATATTTAATTTCTTGTCCTTGCACACCTGTGGTAGTTGATCTTATTCATTCCGGGAGCTAAAGCACGCAATCAGTTGCAGCATGAATAGCTAATTACAGTGAAAGCCACTGGCAGGGTAAGGAGGAACCAGACTTCTTCCCAGTTATAATGGGCCAGAGACTGCTGAGTACACTCTGGGATAACCAAGAAGTGTGGCTGACTGATACAGAAGCAGGATGGAGTCTTGACTGTTATGAACTAGAATCCCACTTTCCAAACATTATATACCAGTGCTTTTTCCTAATTGTAGTTGGACCTAATGCAAAGCATCCAGGTGTGGGAGGAAGCTCTTTCCACTCTCTGTTACCTGTGGCAAACTCCCATAGCATCTGTGATGATTCCATCATCCTGATTCAAGACGTCTGTGTAGGAGATCAGCCTTGATTCATTGATGAGGACACCACTTAGATGCAAAGGTCTGCCTTGTTCGAGTAACTTGTAGTATCAGGGTCTAAGCTACAGATGTTATAAATCACTGGACACTAAGCCTGAATTTTAAATTAGTTCCTTGTGCCTAAATGATAGACAATGTTGAGTGCCTCATCCTGCAGCCATTCAGGGATAATTAGGTAGATGCCCTGCAAATGAATGGATGAATGACTAATCTAAACATTTGTTTACAACAGGAGAATTAGCTTCTCAAGTGAAGAGAATAGCTCACTGAGCCTTGTAGTGTGCCACAGCCAGCTATGCCCTGCCCGTGGGATTCAAAACAAATGCACAGCAAATGTAACCCAAGCTGCACCTCCTCAGCCCGCTGGTTGCCCCGGGTCCATATCACTGCACTCAGCTGTCAGATTCACTGCAGAGTGACTCAGACCACCCACGCCGAGAGGAAGCACTTTGTGCAGCTCAGCACTGAACCTGTCAGCTGGGATTGTTGTGAAGGGCATCAAGCTGGAATGGCGAGGCAAGAGGCAGTTCCACAGCCTATTTACCTCTTTTTCTAAATTTGATTTGAGAGGAGGAGGGAAGGGAAGCAAGGCAGCAAGTACAGAGGAAGCTTTTTTTTTTCCCTGAATTGCTTAAAAAGGCAGAATGACTGGGATGTAAGAAGATGTATGATATT